AAATTGGCAGTAGAATCTGTGTTCCAAAATACCATAGACCTACAGCCGGCTGTAAGATTTCCAATAGCTTCTATAGCCGGCAACACAATTTCTTATAGCCTTTTATAGCCGATGGCGATTAAGCAACAGCCTGGCGATAAAGTGTATGCTGAACGTTACTAATTACGGATGCTAGGACTTAGTGAATTTCTGGACTACCGCTCTCTTTTTGGGCCGTAGTATCTTTATTTATTTTGCGAGAAAAGCTCCGTACTTTTGAAGGATGCCTGCCATTCCGAATATGTTGGAGCGCCTTCAATTTCGTATGATACTGTGCAATACCTCTGGTGTGAAATAGTTGCTTCAAGCGCGGTGGTGCGTTGCGGCGCGGCGCGGCGGGCGGGCAGCCAGCGCGAAACGCGCATTGGCGCCTACAAATCTAACAGGGATACTTCACGCATTGTGCAGTGCGTGAAGTATCCCTGTTAGGTTTGTAGGCGCCAGTGCGCCGCCGCTCCGCTTTGTGTTTGGCTCTAAGATTTAATCTCGTGGAATCAGCGTTTTTCAACTCATGACTTTGAAATGTTTGCACCCGCTGTATGGATTATTCTCACGTTAATTGATGGAAAAAAATATAGAGTAAAGGAAAATATAATGTGCGTTTTGTAAATATTAAGGTGATTCCATACAAACTTAAGTATTTACAAAGCACACGAATTTCTACACAATTTCTTATAGCCTTTTATAGCCGATGGCGAAAAAGTAACAGCCAGGCGATAAAGTGTAAAGCCCGGCGATAGGAACTATAGCCCGGCTGTATAATTTTTTATCGCTTCGTGTATAGCCCTACAGCCAGCTATATGATTTTCTATTGCCTTCTTCAGTCGGCTATAAGAACTCCTATGGTATTTTGAAACGCAGCTCCTACGGCCAATTTTTACCAGGGGGAGGCGAGGCCCGCCTCTGGGCCGATTATTGAAATTGATAGACACAGCTATAAACAACGATGACAGTAGGGATATGGAGGGATCCTACTGGTGAAAGCAGGCGGTTGCAATGCACGAAGGAAGTAGGTAATAGACTGACTATATAACGGCAACCCACAAGAGACCCTGTAGTTAGTCCATCATTTTCCTGCTCAGTCCATTTCATCCACCCATTTCAACCAATAGGTTAGCTCCATACTTTCTATGTCTTCTTTGTCTATGGCTTTATCTATCAATTTCAAGAATCAGCTCGCTGGATTCCCTCGTAGGCCCGAGTGTAAAGGCGGGAAAGGAAGAAGGGAAACCTGTATGATGTGGGGATTCTCGATTTTGGTCAAGATCTCGAGCTCGCGGGGGAAGAATTTGTTGAGGAAGTCGCGGGGGGCCTTGTCCTTGTCGAAGATCTTGCAAGCGAGGCGCATCTTCTTCGGGGATGCTTTGTCCACGTAGTCGGCGATGTGGACGGTGGCGTACGAGCCTTGCCCGATTTTCTTGCCGATGAGGTAACCTCGCTGCTCCAGCGCGTTCACCTCCGAGTCCCGCGGGCTCAACTTCTTCGAGCTCGACGTCATGTTTCCCGACGAGGATTTCCGCTTATGCATCCTCACGATCAGCTCCGGCCAACGAGGCTGCCTCGGGTAACCTTCGCGCCTCCTTCAAAAATACATCATCTGTAGAATGCCTCACTGAAAAAAAATTCACGGCGTTTTCACCAAGGTCCGTGGGTACCTTTACCATCTCACTTTTTTTACCAATTATCGGTAATTTTACCAAGACAGACTGGTAAGCTTACCTAAAAACCGGTATTTTTACTGTTTTTTTCAGGTAAGAATACCACTTTTATTGGTAATCAATTCCCGGTAACTTTGCCATTTTATCTCGGTAATTCTACCACAGTCGATGAAGAATATTGGCGTTTTCACCAAGGTCCAGTGACATTGCCGAGAAAGTTTAATAATTTTACCGAGATTTCTCGGTAAAATTACCAATTCCATAAATCGTCACCTTCCAGGCAAAGTATCACAAGCGCCATGCGACGTTTAAAAATTTCCGCCGCCATTTTATTTTTTTACAGAGAAATCGTTCAACGAAGCTGTCCGAAAATTTCACTGAATTTTCTTTGTGCTGCCGATAAAATTTAGTGAAATTTCCAAACAGATTCAACCAACAATTTCTCAGTAAAGAAATAAAATGGCGGCGGAAATTTTTAAACGTCGCATGGCGCTTGTGATACTTTGCCTGGAAGGTGACAAAATGGTAATTTTACCAAGGAAAAACTGGGATCAAATAGAACCCTGAATTCTTGGTAATTTTACCCTTTTCTTAGTAAATACAGCGAGATTTTTTTTTCAGTGCTGGACATTATTCTGATGCTAAACGAAACGAAGCGACATACTGCCGTGCCGAGGAAAATCGCCGTATGAGCCTTTACACGTTGCCAGATTTACTTTAATGAAACCAGGATTTTCTTGGAAAATTGGGAATATTTTTCGTCAAATTTTTCAGACAATTTGCTTCGCATTTTTATCTAAAATATCTGAAAATTTCAAGTAGATATACGAATAACTTTTCTCAAAAACACTTGTTCCATCCGGAGAAATTTGGCAACTCTCAAATGTTCATACGGCGTTCTTCCTTAGCTTGGCAGCATAACCCCAAGTGGACGTAGTTCTACCAAAGAGACCTATGTGGAAGTGAGAAATATGGGGTGTGCTCGTTAGTCTCTGGCCGTAAGAGTGAATGAGAATAATAAAGCGCCAGTGACGTCAGCGGCAATGCGAAAAAGCGGGGGTGAGACGTCGACGTCGTCGTCGGGGCTCTTTAACTCATGAGCCCTGTCCACAAGGCTCTCTTGCCGTGCCCGCGGCTCATGAGTTCCGCACTCAGCTGCACATAGGTCTGTTTGATAGAATGCAATATCCCGCTTTGCCAATTCTTCAAAAGGAACCACGCCCACTTTTACATTGCTTCTTATGCAGATTTCTAGAGCACACCCCACATTTCTCATCGCCACATAGGTCTCTTTGGTAGAAATACGTCCAAGTAGCATTTTTCAACGGAGGAATCGCGATATTTTGAAATTAGGTTACGTTTTTCGGCGATAAAATCGCTAGGATCATCAACATCTGAGCAATTATCCTCAATCTTATCGCAATTTTATCCAACGAAGTGGCTATTCGTCGGTACGGTACCGACGGATAAATGGCTATTCGTCGGTACCGTACCGATGAATAAATAGCTATTCGTCGGTACCGTACTTCGATTTTAGTACGTAAATTATATTAAAGATATGATTTCTTAATAATATTTTGGTGGAAGTTAAGAGCTTAAAATTGGGTGAAAGATGAAAAAAACCCAACACGAGTTGTAGAGAAATATTCTCCAAATTTAATTTATGTATTTAATACTCTCACATACTACTGGAATGTACTACTCTGTCAAATATATAATCATAATACTGAAAAGTACTTCACTCTCAAATGAATCATCATAATACTGAAATGTACTACTCTGTCAAAAGAATCATCAAGAACGCTTCTTTTTTCGGGTGGTGGGGCCTCTAGTTTCATTTGCAGGTGTTTTCTTTCGTTTTCGTTTTTCGGGGGGATTTTCCACAGACGGTCGGCAACGGTGCGATTAAAGGAACAAAGTTGTCTTGCTGGCAGTTTAGGTCGCCCTCGTGAAATGACTTTACTCTTAAATTTTAGCTTTGTGAAGCTCTCTGCACTGACATTTTCGTCAGATGGAGCAGCATCAGAAACCGAAGATTCGCTGGTGGTGGCATAGCTCTCGGCACTATGATCGTTGTTAGTTGGGGCAGCGACAGATACTGAAAATTCTCAAGCCGTGGAGCAGCGACCATGAACTGACAATAGTTGTACATTTGTAGCACTTAGTATCTCCGTGTAATTACAACAGAGCACCATAGATGGCGTTTGCTTGTCCATTCGGACCAAGGCTTGACAACACATTTTTATTATTAATTAATGTCGCCGATGCGGTACCGACGAATAGCCATTTATTCATCGGTACGGTACCGACGAATAGCCATTTATCCGTCGGTACCGTACCGACGAATAGCCTCATCCTTTATCCAAATAAAATCGCGTTAAATCAAATCGAAATCATATCTTAATACATCACGATTTTTGTTCGATAATATTGCGATAAATCGCTGGAATCGCGATTTTATTGCAAATTCATGCGATGAAATCGCTATTTCATAAATGATAATATTGCAAAAAATCGACGTCGATAAAATTGCGGTACATCCTCCGATCAAATCGCAACTTATCGCGATCAGATAGAACGCCTTCATTTTTTTAAACGCAGCAGAGAGCCGCGGAACACGAATAGTTGCATTCATCCAAGCGTTCAGGCGTTCCCACTAACGACGCGACGTAACTAGCAACAACGCGCCCAGCCCATTCATTGGTGTGATACCGACCATTATTCCGTCATTCTATTTTCATCATTGATTAAATATAATTGGTCGAAATGGTCAGCTGACCCGAAACAGAGCGTGTTTTTATTAATAACCATTCTGGTTTTAATCGATAACCAATAACATTAACTCTGAGGATAGTCTCATAATACTTGATGTTTGTTGGTGATTTTTTATGTGTTCAAACGTAAGTTTGTAAATGTGGATGATCATGTGAAAATCTCGCCTACGAGGCAATGAATCTCTACCTTTTAAAGCCGGCAATTTTTGTTTGTTAAGAGAAAAGGAAACAAGAGAAAAAAGCCATCGAAAACCTTTGTAAATGAGAAAACTTTAACGTAGAAAATTCTACGAAAAGAAAGAAAGAAAGAAAGAAAGAAGGAAGGAGAGAAAATGTATTGAAACATTTCTATATCCATTTGCAACTGCGAACAGAAGTTTAGGATGCTATATTCTCATTCAAGTGGAAACGCTTGTTTTAAAAATCAGAAGTCAAAGTAAACAACTCACCGAGATGTAATTTCCAGTTTCCAAATTTACCTGCCGGCATTATCGTGGTCCTCTTCAACCACTATAAATTCACGGGCAGATTTTCTGGCCGTCACGTCGTTATCATTGCATTGGCATTTGCTGGAAGAAATAAAAGCCCCAACTTAAAATAAAACTTCGATGACCATTACTTTCAACATTAATAGAATCATTGAACCCATTTTCCCTCATTAGAATGCTGAAGAACTCATCGATAAAGCAGCTTTTGCATGACACGAGGATTTGCGATTTTAGCACTTGTTTGGAGGTAAAATCTTGCGGTAGACACGATGGTGCCGCTGATTTTTCCGAAACAAAATTTTATGCTTAAAAAAGCTCCTCAGAGGCCACCTCTATATCCAGTCTAACTCTTCATACACAGACAGGGAGCGAACTTTATTAGCAGGATTGCCGTGATTCTAGCCTTGAAACCCACAAACAAAGTGGCAACACTCTTAACGTATTTGCTTCCTACCCGCTTAAGGAGAGGTTGATTGAAAATAAGTATAGGTGGACTTACACCATTGCACAGGCGATACCTTTCATACCGGCCTCAACTTTGAGAGCTTTTTTCAGGGTTGGGAGTTTGTTGCGGAGAAAACCAGCGGCACTGCCGTGTTTCTGGCGAAAGGACCCTACAACAAAACGGCCAAATCGGCCTAAACACGGAATCGTACGATTTTCTCAGGGATGATAGAGGGTCTTCCCAGACACTCAAAACTGGTCATATTTTTTGCCTAACCCCCAGGGAAAAGGGGGGAGAGGGGGTCAAAGTCAAAACCTTTAAATTAGCATAACTTCTCAACGGTTTGTCGTAGAAATATGATCTTGGTGTTAAAATTTCCAGAAAAATGAGATCTTTCAGAATGTATGTATGAAATTAATAAAATTTTAAAATTTGACCCACTTTTGGGGCATTTTACAAGGTCCCCCTTTCGTAAATTTTCGTTTTTTGAGATTTTCGGTTGTTCGGTTCGCATGGATTAAAACAAAAACAATTTCAAATGAAAGTAGAGCGTTTAAGCTTTAAAACAAGCCCAAGATAATCTTGGGGAAACGATTAGAAGCGGAGTTATGAGTCTTCAAAGTTGACGCGGCGCGCGGGAACCTTGTATGTTCCGAGTCTCAAGGTCACCTGCGCGCCCCGGATTGCCTGCAGGTTGCAAGTTTTTGTGTATTTATGCTTCTGTAGGTCATTTTTAATGTAAATCATTCAATAAAGATAGAATAATCGAAATTTTTTAATTTTACGGGAGGAGCGAGAGGGGGCTTAGAGTATGAACCATTATGTCCATCATACTTCATCAAACATTTGCTGACGATGACGATTCTGCTCTTATAACTTAGAAGAAACCATGGACCATCAGTTCAAATATACATATGCTCCATACAGAACTGAACCATTTAGAAATTATAACCCATTGATGCCAAATTTTGGGGTACCCCTAATTTTAAAACTTTTTAATTGAGCTATAAGCTACAGCGCTTGACGGAACTCACTTGGTAAAGCCAAATAGTTTCTGGTAGAAGCAGACGAGCTTTGAGCTTCAAAACAAGTCTCAGTTATTCTTGAGGGGGCTATTTGAAACGCAGTTAAAATTTTTTGACGTTAATGTGGAGTACTTCGCCGAAGGCCCATTGTGTAAAATTAAAAAATTCTGATTAAACTATCTTCATTGAAGATTTACATTAAAAATGACCTACAGAAGCATAAATACACAAAAACTTGCAACCTGCAGGCAATCCGGGGCGCGCAGGTGACCTTGAGACTCGGAACATACAAGGTTCCCGCGCGCCGCGTCAACTTTGAAGACTCATAACTCCGCTTCTAATCGTTTCCCCAAGATTATCTTGGGCTTGTTTTAAAGCTTAAACGCTCTACTTTCATTTGAAATTGTTTTTGTTTTAATCCATGCGAACCGAACAACCGAAAATCTCAAAAAACGAAAATTTACGAAAGGGGGACCTTGTAAAATGCCCCAAAAGTGGGTCAAATTTTAAAATTTTATTAATTTCATACATACATTCTGAAAGATCTCATTTTTCTGGAAATTTTAACACCAAGATCATATTTCTACGACAAACCGTTGAGAAGTTATGCTAATTTAAAGGTTTTGACTTTGACCCCCTCTCCCCCCTTTTCCCTGGGGGTTAGGCAAAAAATATGACCAGTTTTGAGTGTCTGGGAAGACCCTCTATCATCCCTGAGAAAATCGTACGATTCCGTGTTTAGGCCGATTTGGCCGTTTTGTTGCAGGGTCCTTTTATACAGAGAAAATCACTCAAATCGCAAATCTCCGTAGCACCCGGGAGCCCCATTGTATCTTGATTTAGGTTAGAATTGTTCTTACAGTAACCGAAGGGGCTGTGCCGTCCATAAATGACATAAGACACCAAGAAAGAAAGGGTGGGCCGGGACGTCTAGAGGTGCCATACATTACATTAGAGGGTCTGATAGGTGCCTGAAATTGGTTGGGGGGGGGAGGGCGGCGGCAGAGAGACAAATATTGCCTGAAGTTATTAAAAAACGGACTCTGGCTGTCTGCGCCTTCATTTTTTGAATATGCAATAAGGGATACACAATCAGTCGATTATGCATTGTCATGGTGTGCATATATATCTGTATGTATCATGCAATGCGACGGTAAAATTGTAGGAGCGCCTGACTCGGTTTGCGGCTTTAAGGACCTCCTATCGTTCTCATTTTTTAAATGGACATATATTTGACGTCATCCCTTACAAACTACTCTGTTTTTTTCTCTGCGTCAAAAATATTCTATGAACATTTTTCGAGGTAGCGTTGATTTGACCGCCTTTGATAAAACAAAGTAAGAGCGAAGTTTTTGCAACTCCGCACACGAGGCAGAGGCACGCGCTTCAGTAGTTTCCCCTTATTCAAATGGTTTTATTTGCATATTAACCCCCCCCCCCTCCTTTTTTTTTCTTTTCGGGGTCGAAACTGCATCGCGGACATTTTTGAAAACAACGGACATGTGTCTATTTCGCGTATCTATTATAAAAAATAAAAAATCCTTTGAATGCATCCGATTACAATTTAAATTTTTACAAAATATTCCCCTTTGATCCCTCAATTTAAAAACAGCATATACCTATAGGTCTTCGCCGATAAAACTATCAGTGCTATCGCGAGGCTGGGGCGATAGGGGCAACCGAACCAGGCGTCGTATCGCCGAGGCGTCAAAATGAAAAAGAAAGAGAATAGGACGGAGGGAAGAAAAAAGGAAATGGGAGGTAAGTGAAGACAGTGAAAAAGGAGAAAAAAGAGGAAAGAGGAAAAAACATGGGAGACAGGGGCAGGAAAAATGAGGCTTGTCGACGCGTAAGTAAGTAACGCCTTCATTATGAAAAGATACCTCTCAGCATGGTCTCAGAGGCCGAATTGCTGCATCATTCGAAAACCTTTCTCAACAGTGCAGCAGCTTAGTGAGTAAATTCGATTTTTTCAGGTAGTCTGTGATGAGAAGTGTTGACGCACAAGTAACGTCTTCATTGTGAAAAGATGCTCCTAAATTAGAAAAATAATCTGCCGCTTGTCAATTTTTCAATTAATCTTTTTTTGAAGAAAAAAAAAATAGAAAAAACTAAAACGATACTATATGAAATGCGCATGCAAATATACGTATCTGTAAATGTAGGCTAATTCCCTTTCAATAGTCTCTCCGCAGATTAGGACACATGGCTGCTTCTAAAGACCCGCGAAATCTTGAAAAATAATTAGGTTAGAAACTAATCCTGATGCATGCGTTTCAAGGCAATTTCAAGGAGAGGCATGCAAGTTTGAGATAATCAGAACACAAATAATTTTTCAACGAAAGAAATATGTACATACTTACTTGTTCAATAAATGAAAATGTCGATTTGGCAAGGTGGTGAAATTTTGCAACTGCTCTACCGTAGGCCGAAATTACTGAGGTTTGATACGTTCAGGAAGTAGATAAAATTTAAGGGTTACTTTTGAAGTCACTTGCTGGAAACTAAATATATCAATCAAAAATTTCATCAAAAAACGTAATTATTTTTCTTGGATAACAGGCTATTCGGAACATTTCATCATGAAACTGGAAAGATTAGAATGGTGTAGATACTGGGTAATTTTGCGGTTAAGATTTCTGTTTATATCTTCAATAAAATGTTAAAACATTTTCTCTCTTTTTGATCCGTATCGATCTCCTTAGTGATATGTCTTTTGCTCTGATGTCCGTCGGATGGATGATAAACCGCACGATCTTTTGAGGGTTAGAGACGTAAAATGTATTTTCTCATGAAATCTCTCCTCACTACATGATAGATTTTTTTTTCGTTTTTTAGATTTTTTTTCCTTTTGCAAAAGTGTAGATTTGTAATGAGTACTCTAGTCGTGTCTGTAATTCCTCTAGAATTTTTTTTCGTATTTTAGATTTTTTCCCCTTTTGCAAATGTGTAGATTTGTAATGAGTACTCTATAGTCGTTCCTGTAATTTCTCTAGTTGCATACTATTCTGGAACTGAAATATATATAGTGTTATCGAAGTTTTTCCTTTCCAATTTTTTCTCGGGCCGGATTTAAATTGCCCCCCCCCCCCCCNTGGCCAAGCTTTGTTTCGCACCCCTAAAATTAGATCCTATCGGGAGGGGAGTGTCTATATGGTGTAATCCCCCCCCCCCGGACTAGAGGGGTTTTCAATTCGTAGGCTCTTGCGTTTTAGAATTCTCAAAAATTCTGTACCCTTTGATTCTACTGACCTACTCACGCACCTATTCACCTCTCTATCGCTATTTTATTCCAAAACCCATTTTCATTGAAGGATCCAGCTTTTTCTCAGTTTAAACGTACCTATAAAAATGTATCGATTCTTGGAGGGGTCAGGTGCTCCGACAAGAATCGATTATTTAACATGGGTTTAAACGGAGGGAATTCGGTGTTGCCAAATTGATGGGTCCGCCTCTGTCCATTTGTCGCGTCGATCAGAGAAAGAAAGCGGATCCCTAATTTTAATGAGACTGCTTTCAGAGGATAAAAAGAAGTGGCATGGGTCGTATTTGCTAAAGAATTCCATTAAGTTCCTCCACTAATCATTGCTTGGCGGAAACTCACAAAAGTTGGTCGAGAGAAAAACTTTTTTTTCTTTTTTTTTCTTTTCTTTTTTCTTCTTCTCGGGTCACAATTATTTATTGATTTTCTATTTAAATCTATGGTAAAGTATCAAAATCATCAACCAACAATATTCTCATATAAAGTTGTGGTAAATAATCGAAATCATCAACTTTCGTTACACAAACCAATATCATATTGTCAAGTATCACCGGTAATTCAATCAGTAGCAATTATGTTGCATAACCTACAAGTTGAAGGGTAAAATAAACCATTGCATAACCCGCAGATTGAAGGGGCTACATGCAATACCTCGTATTATTAGAATTGTATAACCCGCATATTGAAGGAGTAACATTACCCTGCCATTTAGTTGAACAATTTTTACAACGTTGCCTTATTGTACAATACTCGCCATACAGCATTGTAATTTAATTCGTTTTTTTCTATGTAAAAAAAAATCATCACTTCAAAGGAGCATTTTCTATGACCCCGGGCTATCCGCAATGAAATTTTAAGTTTATTCTGATACCCTTGATCGAAAAAAAGTGAATAAGGATCCTAAAAGTATTCAGCGACCCACGAACCAACAGATATTCCACGTCGAACATTTGTCATCTCGCGATAGATCCACTTAGTATAGCGCAGGGTAGTTTAGAAGCTTCAGACTTTCCTTGAGTCCGTGCAATCAATGGTTGAAAGCCCGCAATGAAATTTTAAGTTTTCTCTGATACCCTTGATCTGTAGAAACTAAGAGCCAAAATTCGGTCGTCTTTTCGTACAAAATGAGCAGTCTTGCAAAATGCAATATTCGCCACAAAAAAAAAGAAAAAAAAAAATTGATTTAAAAATTGAAAAAACCAAAAATAAATAGTGCTTCCCAGTAGGAATGAAGCTAACAGGAAGTAAAACGTAGAAGTTATGAGAAATAAAATTAGAATAATTAAATTAGCTTGCATTTCAATAATAATAAAAAAAAAAATATTTTACGTTCTTTGAGGTTTAAAAAGCCCGTAAAGAAAAATAACAAAAAATGGCAACACAGCAACGTTGAACTATTTTTTCTCTCGGTAAATTGATGCGTTTTAGAAATAAGCACTTGTTAATTTTTATTGGTGCGAACTTGAGCTTGATACCCTATTTTTTTCTGGGCGATCTCAAGCTGAAAGGGTTTTATCCGATTTATTCCCCTCAAAACGGGTCCTAAAAACCCCCTCAAAATGTTCTCCTCAAAAGTTCTGTTTGTTGCAAGATAGTACGTACCAAGAAGAGCAACTCAACAAATTTTCATGAAATTTCAACAATTTTTAACGGAGATATCGATTTTTGACACTGATCGTCCCCTAGTAATCAACGCACTGTGCGGCGTTCCATACTATGTTGGTGCTTTTTTTCTCTGTAAGAGGCAAATCCGGAGAAAATTTTAAGTAATGATTCTGATTTGTTCTCCCTTAAGAAAAATAAAATAGGGGTGAAGATTTTTAAACACTGCAAACGAGATACGTTCGGGAGTCTCGCCGCCGCGCCGCTTTGATTCTCTAATTTTTTAAAAAAATATGTGACAAATTTTTGCGATGTTAGTCACGAAAATTCATATTCACGCCCTCTTAGAAGGCTTAATCAATCAGACGCAAAGCTATGATGCAATCTGATGATTCATGAGAAATTCTTAAAATTTCTTTCCATCACCCAGAGCTAAATTAGTATTTTGA